AATATTAATATTGTATGTGTGTAACGTTTAAATTGTTATTATTATAATAATAATAAATATTACTGTCTCATAATAACGGTTTTTTTTTTCATTTTCTATAAAGTGTAATTTATCAAATGAATATTAAGACTTACCCAATTATTAAATCCGTATTAACGCCTTATTGTTTTTAACTAAATAAAAAACGAAAAACAAAACAACAACAAACAAAATTATTAAAAAAAAAAAAAAATCAAAAAAAAAAAAAAACAAATAAACGTTGGTAAATAAAACTTAAGTGTTTATAAACAAACTTTAACCCGCGAAAGCAACAAAATGACTGACTGGAAATAAAATTTTTTTCGTCTGTCTTCAGTGTGTCATCCTAAATAAATCCCCAATAATAACGTAAAATATCACCCTTCAGGGGGAATATTTAACGATCGCTTCAACGAAATTATAAAATGACGGACCAAACAATATTATTTAAACGTCTTATATAGGATTTTTATAATAAAAAGAAATTTACCGGTGAGCAAACAACACATCGTTAAAAGATTACGCGTGCGATTGCAAATATATTTGCGAAACAGTTTTCTTTTTTTTGTAATTTTCTTTTATTATCTTTCTAACGGATTTTCTGATAATTTCGAATAAATTCAAAATTTAACCGACTTTTCATTATTTTCCATAATTACAATCGCAAATGAAATTATTATTGTTTTATTTTTATAAAAAAAAACCATTTATCGAAATATTGAAATTTTATCGAAATATTTTTAATATATTTTATTTTAATATCGATTTCAATAAGTTTGATTAAATATTGAAATTTAATTATAATTTATTTTTATAATAAACTCAACTCGATTTAAATTTTTTTTTTTAAATTTAAAGCCGAATATTTATTGAAAATTTTTGATACAAACTATTTATCACCATTTTTTAATTCACAATTATTAAACAACAATCAATTATTGATATTTTTTAATAAAATATTTAAATAAACAATTTTGCACTTAAAAAAAAATTTAATTCGGTGTTTCGACATGTTCTTTTATAAATACATTTAAATTTAAACGAACTTAATATTTTATTACTTGATGTCGTTGATGTTTTATTAAAAAACCGGAAATCATTTCAAATCGATATATTGATAAAACGGAAACAGTTGAAAATTACTCATGGTGTGGTTTATTTGTAAATAATACAGTTTACATTTATTTAATATAAAAAAAAAAAAAAATGAAATTTAGGAGAAATAATTCTTCTAGAAAAAATAAAACTAAAAACGAACAAGCAAAAAAATTAAAAAAGAAAAGGGAAAAAGCTAAAAAAGAATTGAAAAAAAAATTAAAAAAATCAAAAACAGAAAAAAAAGATACTTCTAAAAAAAGTAGTGTTAATTATTCACTTAAAAAATTTCAAAATTTACCCTTAAGAGAAAAAATGTTAGAAAAATTAAAGTCATCTAGGTTTAGGTTTGTACAAACTTAATCATATATATTTGTTACAAAGTAGATTCATTTTCTTTTTTATAACATATTTGTGAAACGATAACTTTGTAAAAATTGAATTATGTTTAATTGTTTGTTAAAAATCAGAGCATGATTTTTTAAATAAAAAAATAATGATTTTCTGTGTTTTACTTAGTATAACCTCACTGCCAAGAAAATGTTTGACCTAATTATTTTACATAAATTTACATGAACAAATTATTTATTTATTTTTTAGATTTATAAACGAACAACTTTACACAATGAAGAGTCAAGATGCTTATAAATTGTTTCAAGAAGATTCTGAAGCTTTTACCGCTTATCACGAGGGTTATAATAACCAAACAAAATCATGGCCAAAAAATCCAGTCGATATGATTATTCAAACAATTGAAAAAATGTTAGATATTATAATAAAAATAAATATGTTACCTCGATTGTGTGTGCATCATAATTTTTTACACTTACTTTACAAATTGATTGATTTTGCAGGACTAAAAACAATAAGAAACTTATAATTGGAGATTTCGGTTGTGGAGATGCTAAAATAGCAAAAACATTTTCTGAACTTACAGTACACTCCTTCGATCTTGTTTCATTAGATCCATGTGTTACAGTTTGCGACATGGCTTCTACTCCTCTCTCGGATGAAGTTCTTGATATTGCAGTTTTTTGTTTATCATTAATGGGAACTAATTTTTCTGAATATTTAGTCGAAGCTAACAGAGTATTAAAAGTTGGGTAAGTTATTTGTTAAACTAATCGTTTAATTTTTGAAATTTTTTTAAGTGAATATATTCACATTCATTTAAAGTTATTATAATAAAATTTTTTATTTATTTATAGGGGACAGTTACTGATAGCAGAAGTTCAAAGCAGATTTGATAACATTCAAAAATTTATGGAAATATTAATAAAATTTGGTTTTAAAATCAAATCAAAAGATTTTTCTTGTAAATATTTTTACTTAATGTATTTTGAAAAAGAAAGAAATTTAGGAAAAAATTCTAAAAAGAAAGTTCCACATTTATCTCTAAAACCATGTTATTATAAAAAAAGATGATATTATATGGCTAATATATTATTTTAAGAATATATAAGAGCATTTTTTAATAAAATCATTTTTAATAAAAAAGGTAACTTTTCCTATATAGGCTGTGCATTCATCGCAAACTGTATCCTTATAAGATGAACATTTTTTGGCTTCGTATAATCCAATTCCACATTGTGAACAATTCCAGCAGGGACTAAAAAAAAAAAAAAAACATATTAGACATTTTAATAAAAGATAATACATAATAATAATAATAATTTTAAAAATAATACCTGTTCGAGGAATATGTAGATGAATATTTTTTCATGTTTTTACATTTTTCGCATATTGTATCAGTTTCATTTGCACATTTTTTCAATACTCCCCAACCGGGTGGACATTTTGTACATTTTATCAACTTTTTCGATTTCATCAAATGTTTCTACAAATGAAAAAAATTAACAAATTAATTAAGTTGTATGAAAATTGAAGGATGTGTCGAGTAAGATTTATCAACAATATTAAATTTTTAGTTTTCAACTTACATTTTCAACGATTATTATATATGTTGCACACAAAACAAAAACAATCATTGAAATTTTCATATTAATAAAATTTTTTTTTTTACCTATTTAAGAATGTATTATTATTATTATTATTGATCACTGAAAAATTTTAAACACTACATATTATCACACACAATTCATCATCACAATTAATTTAAAAAATAAATTTTTTTTAAAATAATGATGGGCGTTATTGAACACCTTTCATGTTTTTTTATAAAATTTATAAAAGAATCACTCAAACATAACAGATTTTATCAGACTGTGTTTGTTTTTTTTTCAAAATATTTTATCCATCAATGATTGAAAAATGGGAGGAGGAAAGAGGAGGAAGAGGAGGAGAAGGGGAAAAAAAATATTCGGTTTAAACGATATTATTTATTACATTTAAATGTCGTTTAGCACAAAGCAACAAAAAACTAAATAATGTTTTTTTTTTATCCAATCATTTTCAACGGATCATTACGATATTTCGCAAAAATTTCTCCTTTAAACAATTCAAATCTAAATCTGTTTACACTGTTTTGTCTTTCACGCCATGGCGGTCTTTCTTTTCGACCCTGAAGACCCCAATGTATGGTAAAAACAGGTGATAAAACTTGAAATTGATATCCAGAGACAAAAGTTTCGTACACCTGAAAAATTTATATATATTAATTAATAATAATAATAATAATAATATAATTTTTAATGTTTAATTATTTAAATCACCTGAGTATTTCTTGTATATCCGTAACCTAAAAATCGTTCGTCGTGTTCCGGTACCGTATCTGGAGCCACGTAAAAAGGTTCATATAAAAATTCAAAATTTGTTACGTCATGACTTATTATTATTTCATCTTCTGAAGAATCGACAAAGGATTCCCATCTGAAATTTTACGTTATAAATAAATAAATAAATAAAGGGAGAAAGGAAGAAATAAATAAATAAATTTTTACTCACTTAGAAAAATTTGTTGCAAATTGATTGTAAATGAAAACTTTTTGATGAAAAGCTCTTGCCAAACCTTTTTGCGACAGCCTTAACAATTCGCTTTTATTTTTAGGAAAATCAGTTCTGCTATCCAATTCGTAAGTTGGTATAACGTACGCGCATTTATTTTTACAAGTTTTTTTAGCAGTTTTTAAAAATTTATTTAAATTATCTGCTAATTTAAAACTAGGCACTATATCGACATCGGTTAAAAAAACATAATCGCTCTGACAATTTTTCCTAGCTAAATTTCTCATGTGATTTTGCGGATATGGATTTTTCATTCTCCATTTAACTATTTCCACTGGCCTTAATTTAATTATTTCTTTCAACACGTTTTTATAATCTCTGCATTTGTAATTGTTTATTTTAAGATTTTTTAAATTTTCCGGATATTTACCCGTTGGTATTCTCAATTTGGGCACTCCCAAATGAAAACTCACTCTTTTACTTATCCAAGGATAACAATTTTTTAAAAAATGAACGTACCAATGTAATAAATAATATTCTTCGTCTCCGGCTGCGTATATTGCGACCGATATAGGACCCGTCCAATGTTCGGATACTTGTGCTATGGAATGTAATTTTTCTATAGAACTTTGAGTAGCCATGCAAACCATATATTTTTTCGATAGACTTCCATATTCTTCTCCCACGTGTACGTAATCGAACATTTTAAACGATTTACTTTTATCCCATCGACCCAAATCGAAACTCACGTTAAAACCTATTTCGAATCCTTCGCTTATTTCGTAATCTTTAACGTTATACTCGGAATATGACGGTTTCTGTACTTCTTCCGTTTCCTTTTTATCAAATTTATTTTGATCATCTTGATAATTTTTTACGTATTCTAAATCGTATGTGTTTCCTATAGAACATTGACTATTGTTTAACTGACGTAGTATGAGATATATATTTGTCAACAAAAGGAAAAAAACACTTCCGACGTTGAAATATTTAATCAACATGACATCTGTAATCATCATTAATTTATTGATTATAAGGTAGTGAAACATTATTATTATTATTATTACTTACCTGTCCCTGTAAAGGGAAAATTCACGTTGATGTTAGATAATAATGATAAAAATTAACAACAACACATTTTTTATTTAATAACAATCGACTTTTGGTTAAGTCGAATTTTAACGGAAAAAAAAATTTATTTCACACAAATTTTATCATAATTTGATTCCGTGATAATAATAATAATAATAATATATAAAATGTTTACGTATGTGCTGAACGAATATTAACATATTAAACATTCTTCTGCTGTTTACAAAATGAAAAATCAATGGTTGAAATGAATGAAACGCGCAAGTGCAATAACAATAAAAAAAAAAAAAAAAATTTTAAGGCGTTGATGGATTCAAATACGACGAATCCATATCACCATATAAATAAAAAAAAACATACGCGGCGTACTACGTGCGTGTGGGTGTGCGTGTACGCGCGTAATGATTTTTTTTTATTTTTGAAAAATAATAATAATAATAAAAATTTTCTCCTTTTCTTTCTCTCGCGCGTTCGAATTTCAGTAAAACAACAAAAATTAAAATTTAATCAGAAAGGTTTAATTTAAAGGTTTTTTAAAAAATCGGGATAAACTTTCCCACACACACCCCCCCCACTCGTGATCTTCCCTCCCCCTTCTCCCCGTGACCTCAGACTGAAGTTCAAAACGACATAACATAACGTTTTATGTTTTTCGACAAAATTAAACGTTTCAAATTTATTTTGTTGTCATATGAACGCTCAAACCTTTTACGATCTGCTTTTTTTTTATACCTTTTCAAGTGCGAATAATAATAATAATAATAATAATAAAATATTTTTAGTTTGTTTTTTCATTTTAATCATCCCTTATTTTTCCCGCGTTTTATTATTATTATTATTTTCAAAATTAAATCTTTTGGTTTTTTTTTTAGGTTAAAAAAATCGAATATTTTATTTTATTTTTGTTTTTGAAAAATAAATTCCGACGTTTTTCATTTTTTATTCGGAGGGGGGAAGGAAGAAGAGGAGGAGGAAGAGAGGGGTTAAGAAAATTTAAGGATAAAACTAAAAACTAACATTTAAAACAAAAAAAAAAAGTTTTCAAAGTCATTTAAAAATTATTACAAAGTTTTTAAAAAAAAAAAAATTTTTTTTTGTTTTTTTATTTTTTTGACCAACTGTTTCGCATTGTGACAAACCCACACCTCCCCCTTCCTCCTCATTCTCCCTTTCCCTTCTTCTTTTCTTCCTTCTCCCTCCTCTCCCCCCCCGAAAAAAAAACAAATTTAATGTTTTCTTTTTTGTTACTTTTTTTTTTTTTTGTTTTTGTTTCCTGTGGGAATGTCGGTTGGTAAAAGAAAAATAAAATAAAATTAAGAGGAAAATGGAGGAGGAAAAGGGGGAAGGAGGGAGAGAGGGGATGATGGTTACAAGTTAAAAACAAAACCTGCGTTTAATGTTTAAGAATTTAAACCGCAAAAAATTTTTTTAAATAGAAAACTAAAAATTAAAACACTTGAATTATTATTATTATTTAGTTTAACGTCGTGTGTGTGTTGTTACGAATATTATTATTATTATTATTATTATTATCATCATCATCGTTACTTTTCTTTAAATTATTAACTTCCACAGATTACATAAAATTTCTTTTTGAATTTATTGAGAGTAAAAAAAACTCATGAATTACCTTTTACCTTTTTTTTTTTTTTTATCTTTTATTACACTTAAAATCTTTTTAACACGATCATAATTTATTAAACCCACGTTCTCACAGAAAAAAAATAAGAAGAAGGAAAAGTAGGTGAAAAAAAAGGAGATGATGAAGAAGATGAAGAAGAAGAAGATGAAATTTACAATTTTCTTTTAATAACTTAATTTAAATTTTTTTCTTTTTGGACGGTTATTCGGTGGCAAAAACAAAAAAAAATTGCAGGAGGAGGAGGAGAAAAAAGAGGAGGGGGAGAGGGAGGAAAGGAGAAAGAGGAGAATAATTTAAAATTTTTTCTCTCTCTCTCTCTCTCAATTTCACTCAATCAGGATCATACTTTTTTTCCTTTTGGCATTTAAACCTTTTCTCGCGTTCCCTTCCTCCTTCACCCTAGTCAGGCGGGGGTTTAAATTTTAAAATTTGAAAATTAAACCTCAAATAATTTAGAAAATTTTTAAGTGATGGTAGCAGGGAGGTAAAGTAGGAGGGAAGAGTGGGAGGGGAATGAGGCCGATAAATAAATTTTTCTTTCTTGAACATGATCTCTCTCTCTCTCTCTCTTCCTCTCTTGAGCGAAGTTTGAAATTTTGCGGTTGAAAAATCAACATCATTGTTAAAACAGGAAACAAATTAAATATGAAAATTTTGAAAATTTTCAAACAACAACAACAACCGAAAGAATATTCATATTTATTTTACGCCTGAAAAGCAACATCTGCACATGTTGTTGTTGTTGTTGTTGTTTTTATATTCGATCAATAATAAACCTGAATTGTTTTTCTTTTTTTTCTCTTTCTTCCTTCCGCTTCTTTACCCTCTTCCCATATTTTCTTTCCTTTAACAAAAATTTTCCTTATTTTTTTTACTCCCTCCCTTCTTCCGTTTTCTTCTGCTTCGGTTTACAAAAAATTTGATTTTAATTTAAGTATATTATTATTATTATTATTATTATTATTATTATTAATATATTCATTTTTCAAAATAAATAAATAAATTTTGTTTTTTTTTTCGTATGTTTCTCGTATTAATTTTCTTTTTTTATATATTTATTTTCAAAACATTGAATTTTCACTTTAATAATCATCATCATCATCATCATCATCATCATTATTATTATTATTATTATTATTATTATTATTAAAGTTTATGGCAAAATGAATATTTTTACGAAGAATAATAATAATAATATTTTTCATTTTATTTTATAATTTTTTTATACGCGCGCTTTATCTACGTTTGTTAACAGATGGGATTCGAAACGAAAGGTTTGTTTGTTTAATGTTGACAACAACAACAACAAACGAGAATAACAATTGATGAAACATTTAATTTTTCAACAAAAAATTTCAAATCGTGTCATCAAAAAAAAAATAAATAAATAAACCTTTTTTTTTTTTTTTAATTTTGGTAAAAGTGTTGAAAACGTTGTTGTTTCACCATTTTTCGAAAAAGTAAATAAAAAAAAAATTTTTTTTTTTTTAACGACCTTTTCCTTTTTTTTTTTTTTCTGTTTGTTTGTAATAATAATAATAATAAACATTTATTATTATTATTATCATCATTATTTCTTTTGTATTATGTTTGTTAGTACATAATAATAAAAAATTAAAACCACAATTAATTTTTTTTTTTTTTTTTTTTTACCCTTCGTTCGTTTCGAAAAAAGAAATTCTTTCTTTTTTTTTTAAATTAAAAAAAAAAAAAAAATCTTTGAAAAAAAAGGAATTTTCCCGCTCATTCCTTTGCCCCTTTCCTCCTTTTTTCCTTTTCTCCTTCCACGTTTTTTTTTTTATTTTTTTTTCGTTTATGTTTTTTTTTTTTTTCTTCTTACATTATTTATATTAATAAAATATTTTTCTTTTTTTATTTATTTATTTTTTTTCCCGTTTTTCTTCTTCTTCTTCTTCCATTTTATTAGTATTATCATCATCATCATTATTATTAACATCGTTTCAAAAAAAAGAAAAAGAAAATACAAATTTTATTTTATAAACAAACGCAAAAAAAAAAAAAACGTAATAATATTCATAGCAAAAATTCAATCTATTTAATTTTATGTATATATGTATATATGTATATATTTACATAAAGATACAAGAAACTACAAAAAAATTATTATTATTATTATTATTATCCACCATTAAACACGACAAGGCTACTTGTCGGAGTTTTTAAGTATTTATCCGAGGTTTCTACCCGATTCCTTAGGGACAAATACTCGAATTTCGGTGGTGCCACTTATTATAAGATAGCACCACATCAATTCTTGAAGGTCTTCCTGAGTCCGTCTTTTTCGATGGGAACGATTTGTCTCCTGAACTGGGCTCCGGTGACTAACATCTTTGGAGTGGCCAGGGTCAGAAGCAGTGAAATTCACGTTCTCGTCGAGCTGCCTCAGGTCGACAGTAGAACAAGATTTTGTTTTTGGTTCTTACTTTGTCTTGTTCTCATTTTTTTTGCTCTTTTTTTTTAAGCCAACAGCACGTGGCGTTCTCAAACGGTCACCCATCCAAGTTTGCACCACGCCCGATGCTGCTTAACTTCGGTGATCGTACGGGAACCGGTGTGACCAGCACGCTATGGCCGTTGGCTTTTATTATTATTATTATTATTATTATTATTATTATTATTAATAATAATTAATAAGAAGCATTTTTCCACGGATAGCTTTTGTATTTATGACTTTAACGGAAAATTAAAATTGTAAAGAAAAAAAAAATTGTTGTTGTCGTGTTTGTCGTATTATAAATATTACGTAGGAACTTCATTTTCTTCACCGATAAATTTATTTATTATCGTTGGAAAACATAAAACGTTTTCTTTTTTCCCACCACCACCATCATCATCATCATCATCAATTTTTGAATTTTTTGTTGCAAAATTATACGGCGGTTCAAGTCTGTGATGTCCCTGAAACATAAAAAACAATTGAATGAATGAATGAATGAATGAGTGAACGGTTTATATAAAAAAAAAGACGGATTAAAAACAAACGCTTTCTACGTTTTTTTTTTTTTTTTTAAATTTTAATTAAATTTTTTGAAAAAAAAAAAACAAACCATGATAATAATAATAAAACGAATGATTAAATGGATTTTAAAAAAAAAAATAAAAAACAAACGGGAGGAAGGGAAGGGGATGGGATTTAAATTTTTTTTAAAAATTATTTTTATACAGAAGGAGTTCATAATTTAATACCGTTTACTCGGATTATCCCATACCAGAGGATTATCTCGTTTTAGATTATCCGACTTGAAATTATTTTTTAATTTTGTTTTATTTTATTTTATTACGTTTGACTAATGTTTTACCCATTTAAATAATTAATAATAATAATAATAATGATGTTGATGATTACATACCGTTAAACGCGTTCGACGATCGTATATTTAAATAATAATAATAAGGGCAACAAAAAATGTGAAGAGGGGGGAGGTAGGGAAGGAGAATTTTTTTTTAATTTGATGCTTGTCGTTTTTTTTTTTTTTTGCATGTTTCCAGACATTTAAACAATCGTATTACCACGCGTGGAAGGAAAATTTAATGAAGTGAAGGGGGAGAAAGAGGGGGAGGGAAGTGGGCGGTGAAAAGGGTAGTTTTAAGTATTCGTTTATGTAAATATAATGACCCGTAATTAATAAAACACAAATTTTATATATAGGGAATTTAAATAAAACGGTCAAATATTACCTGTATAATTGTTATTTCACGATTAGACGGAGAATTATTATTATTATTATTATTATTATTATTATTATTATTATTGTTGTGGTTGTTGTTGTTGTTGTTGTTATTATCAGGAGCGGAGCATTTAATTGATTTTATTATTTTTTCTCTGTGTATTCCAAATCTTTCCGTTGAATATTTTCTCCTGTTCAATTTGAGATTTTTATTTATGTATAAAACGGTACCATTGGATGCGTTTTTATTTTGTTTGTTGTAAATGTCAGTTGTTGCCATTTCCACGGACAATCGTTTGTTGCCAACGTAAGAAGATGATGACGACGACTCCTCACTCTGTAAAAAATTAAAAACGAACAAAAAAAAATTTTTTTTAAAATAAAAAACAAACAAACAACGAGGAAAAAAAAGTTAATTTATTTTTTGATGACAAAAATTATTTTAAAAAAAAAAAAACTTTTTTAATACTTTTTTAATAATAATAATAATAATAATAATAATAATAATAATAATAATGATAATAAATTTTCTGTTGTTGTCTGTCGTCGTAAACTGACAAAAATTTCAACCGTAAAATTTTTTTTTTTTCTGTTTTACTTAATGAATAAAAAGAAAGAAAATTTTTTAAATTGATTTTCAATGTCGTTTTTCTCTCTTTTTTTTTTTTTTAAATTTTTGTTTTAAAAAAAAAAACTTATTATCATTATTATTATCATCATCAAGTTTTTATTGTTTTATTCGCGTTTCCTTCTTTTAATTATTTAATCAAAACTTTGTACGCCATGATAAATTTTTATTTTTATTTATTTTTTAGTTTTTTACGTACAAACAATCATTAATTACTTTAAATTTTCTCACTCTTTCGCTCTCACTCTCATTCACTCTCGCTCACTCTCTCTCTCTCTCTCTTTTTTAACTTTTGCTTACAATTAAATAAATTGTTAAATTTAAATTGTTTTACGCACAGGTAAATAAATAAATCGAAAAGTTTCAAAAACTTTTTAAAAAACATAAAAATAAAATAAAATTAAATTAAATCACAACTATTAACACGGATGTTGAAGGGAGGAGGCGGGGAAAAAAATTTTTTTAATGGAAAAATAATAATAATAATAGCAACTTTGATAATAATAATAATAATAATAATAATAATAATCCGATTACCGTAATAATAATGCACCTTTATAGTATGTGTAAAAAAAAAAAAATGACATGGTTTTCACTTAAAATATATATATATTTTAAGTGTATGAGAGAGCGCGTAAGTGCGTTTGGGTGTGCGTGGCGTGCGTGTGCGTACGTACGCATATATATATATATATATGAAAGATTCAAATAGATTTTTTGAATAAATCATTTTTTATCAGATTATTTAGAGACCATATCACGATACGTGATATTTCATACATATTTAATAGCGAAAACCTTTTCAGAATCATAATTTGATTTTTCTATATGAAAATAAAAAGTGTGTGTGTGTGAAAGAGTGAGAGAGAAAGAGAGAGAGAGAGAGAGAGATGGTGAGTGAGAAAAGAATGAAGAATGAAAAAAAAAAGGGTTTTTTTTCAACGAGAAGATTGACCCGAAAAAGTCGTCTCTTCGTGAAAATGTTCAAGCATAAATAATGCCCTTTCTTAAGTTGAAAAAAAAAAGGGAACGTAACGAAAATGAGGAAAAAAAAAGGAGAAAAAAAGGGAATGAAAGACGTTTTAATGCGCGTGAAAAAAAAAAAAAATAAAATAAATAAAAAAGGAAAAAAAGAAAAATTTATGTAAGCTCAAAGATAACCAAAATCTTTGAACGGATAAAATTATCCATCTTTTTTTTTTTTTTTAAATTTTATTTTCCTTCTGGATAAAAGATTTTAAATGATACGAATCAGAAAAAGAAGAAAAAGAAGATGAAAGAAAGAAAGAAATAAGGAAATGAAGAAAAAAAGAAAAAAAAATTAATATTATTATTTTATTCCAGGTTTAAAATTATTAAAATCACAAAAAAAAAATACGAATGCCTCGAGTATACGAATATCGAATTTATTATTATTATTATTATCATCATCATCATCATCATCGTTATTTTGAATCACATGAAAAGTATAAAATTTCAAAAAAAAAAAAATTTTTGTTTTTTTTTTAACCGAAAAATGATAACGATGTAGAAAATTGGTGGAATGAAACCTTTTCTTTTTTTTTTTTGTTTTCATAACCTTTTAACCTCTCTCTCTCTCTCTCTCTCTTACTTTTTTTTTCATTCGAATGATTTTTTTAACTCGTTTAAAATATGCACGAGAAAAAAAATACAATAATAATAATAAATTTTCTAAAAAATTTGACGAAAATTTATTTTATTTGAAAAAAAATTTTCCGGTCCAGCGGGATGCTGTGAGCAAATCGAATTTTTATTTTAAATAAATTTTTATTCTTTAGTCGTTCAAATAAGGAAGAACGAAATGAAGAAAAGATGTAGGTACTCAACGACCATATTTCCAGGATAGCATCGAGCAAAAGAGAAAAAAATCGTGGAAGAAAAAAGAAAAATCCGTCGTGTTCTCAGGTAAACAAATCGACGCCTTTAAACGTTCGCAAAATAAAAAAAAAAAAGGCGGGAAAAAGGAAAAGGGAAAGAGATAGGTAGGGGGAGGCTGGAAATGAATCGTCGCCGTTAAATTTTATAAAAGCGTGAAATGCGTTAATGCATGAAGAAGAACGAAAAGGAAGGAGGAAAAACTAGTTTCGATTAAGGGTTACAACCAAAATTTTCCGGAACCGCGATCCTACAAAATTTTTGGGTTTCATGCCAAAAATAGTTTTGTTACGTAATAATTTACATAATTATTTCCTATTCCCGTATATGGTATTTTACACGCATGCTCGTCCATTTAAAAAATAAAAATAAAAAAAATTTTCAGTCTGCCATTTTTATTTCACATGAAACATTTTTTTTTTTTTAAATGTAATTACGATGTGATGATAATAATTAATGACGTCATACATACGAAAATTTCAAATATAAATAATTTACGTAACAAAAAAAATAAAAATAAATTATTTTCTTCATTTTTCCTAAATCCGCAATCGTTTTTTTTTTTTAAATGACGTCATAACATTACGTCACATAGAGGTTTTCTCCCGATCGAAATTTCGTTTCGGTTTTAAATAAATTAAAAAAATTTTTTTTTTAACCTAACCTCGTTTTAATTAATTATTTAAATACTCACAAAATGACTTTCGATTTGTTGAGTGTTTCGAGAATTTGAAAGTTGTTGAAACTGTCTTTGCAATTGCCAACTTCTGAAATATAAATCTCCGGTAAATATTTGATTTCCGCTTTCGACTCTCGCCATTATGTGCGATCTGAAATGACGAAAAAAAATAATAATAATAAAAAACGTTTTTACTAATACGTTGCGTCCATGACGTCATCATTTTTTTTTACTTACAGAAAATAAAATATAAAAATAAAAAACGCGGGAAAAATAATACGCCATCTTTTTTTTGTATTTATTTGGATTCACTTTGGATTTTTAATTATTAAAAAAAAAAAAATGGCGTTTTTCGCAATTTTACAAAACGTTTTAAAATTAATAATAATAATTATTTATTTATTCTTATCATTTTTAAATCAAACCGGAAACAGGTAAAATAAAAGGGGAGGAGCATGAAAAAAAAAAACTTTTGTTTCCTTTAGATTTTTTTTTTTGCGTTTGTTAACCGCGAGTGGAAAATCTCAAAGGAAAAATAAAAATTTTCTTTTAAGGTTTTTTTTTTTTGGTAATTTTTCGTTAGTTGGTATTATTTGTTTAATTACAATTAATTACAATTAAAAAAAAAAAAAAAAAAAAGTAAACATGTCATTTTAAACTATTCGTAAAATTAAAAGAAATTTGTTTGTTTGTTAAATTTAGTCATTGCCACCTGTTACCAATTTTTTTTTTTTTCGGTTGTTTTTCATCCTTTTTTTTTGTCCTCCATTTTATTTTATTTTTTTTTTAAACTTGTTTTTGAAAGCGGGGTAAAAAAAAATAAAATAAAAGAGAAATAAATATAAATTAAAGGTGTGCGGTATATAAACTTTTAATCTACACGCGTTATTTAATTTAACGTAACAAAAAGTTTAAAAACTTTCAGACTTTCTAAATCCTGACACTTTTGGGTTCTTCTTTACCCAAACACTTCCTCTCTCCACCTCTACCTCCTCCCACCCACCCATTTATTTATTTATTTTTTTTTCATCCCCCTCCCCTTTTTTTTCCGGTTGAAAGTCTCAAATTATTTTTTTTTTTTTTTGTTTTTGACTATAATTAATTATTATTTATTTATTTTTTTTTATCGTCAAACTTTTATTACTTTTTTTTTTTTTTTAGAGTTCGTTAAAAATAAGATTTAATGTTTTGTTGATAAAAATATTTACATTTAAGTTTTTTAAAGTATAATTTAAATTCAGAAATAATGATAATGATGATAATGATGATGATGATAAACTTTACCTTATTGTTATTTGATGAACTCTCGGTAATTGTCCTTGTGCCCTTAATATTTTTGCCATTCCTAAAAGAGAACTTTTATGGGGAGCCACGTGAGATAAAGCACGTTTATAATATTCCATTGATTTTAATTTTAAACCTGAAATTATTTTTTAATAAAAATTAATACTGAAATCATTTTTAATTATTATTATTATTATTATTATTATTATTATTATTATTATTAATTACCTTGATCGTAAAGCCATCCGGCATATTCGGCTAAATGATCTGGATTTTTCGGATGCATTTTTATTACGTGACGTAATAATTGTTCGACTTTTTTTTTATTACCCGCGATTGTGTGGAGTTTAGCCATTAATAAATATGCTGGAGTGTATGTATTGTCAATTGTTATGCATCTTTCGAGCATTCTAAGACCTTCTGCCGTTTTATTAACTTTTCTAAAAAATATTATTTAAAAATTATAATTACCTATTAAAAATGAATTGGTAATAAACTTCTTTTGTTTATAAAATAATTTTTATTACATCGTTTTAACACGTGGTGTGTTTTAAAATATTTATAAACATTTATAAAAAAAAAAGAACATCGAATGAACCAATGAAAACGCGAGTTCTTTGTTTACATTTATTAAATTTGACCAATAGAAAAAAGAAAATCAATTTTAGTACTTAGCTTACCGGGTTTGTTTTTATACAAATATTACATTACCAACACACACACACACGTTATGAATAAATAATAATTTAAATTTGTTTTCTCTCTCTCTCTCTCTCTTTATGTAAAAAGTAAAAAAAAATTTTTAAACAAATACATTATATATATATTTCATCATGGAAGGAAAAAAGAAAAAGTTTTCAAAAAGATTATTATAATACGTAATAAAATAATAAAATGATGAGACACGAAAATTTTTTATTTATTTATTTATAGATTCCATAAAGTTGTTTTCTCATTTTTTTTAAATTGCCCAAAAACAAAAGAAGAAAACATGGCGTCCAAATTTCATTTCGATTTTTTTATATCATCATTACCATCTTTTATATATATATAAATATGTTCGACATTGTTTTTTTTTTAAACAAGTCAAACATTTTTTTTTTATATATATAAAAATAAAAAAAAATGAAAAATGTACGAATGTTAGAATATAATAAATATTAAAGTTAAAGTTCATGATATTTATTTTTCATGCGGCACCGGCTATTATATTACTACGAAGAGAAAGAAAGAAAAAGAAAGAAAGAAATAAAAAGGCCTTTTTGATTTTTGTCAAAAAATAACTGGAGCGAAACGTTAAATTCCAAAAAAAAAAAAAAGAAAAATTTGACGTTTATGACTGGATATCATTTTTGTTTTTTTATTTTTAGCGGTAAATATTTCGATTGATGTCACGCTTTTCTAGGGGTGGGGCGGGAAACGGGGAGAAGGTCTAAGAATAAATAAATTTATTTATTTTTTATAAAAAAAAAAAAAAAAAGTTTTAGACGGGGTAATTAAGGGGAAAAATTATTATTAAAAAAAAAAAATTTTCTTTTTTTTCCTTTTTTTTCCTTTTTTTCCTTTTCCTTCTTCTTTCCTTTTTTTTTTTGCTCTAATTAATTTAACGTCGTGCCTGTCATGTCTTACTATAATATTTTTACTCTGGTTATAATTTTTCTTCGTAAATTATTTTTTTAATTTATTTAATTATTTATTGATAATAAATTTTTTTTATTTATTATCGATAAATATTTAATTAATTTGTAATTTAATTTATTTTTTATTAATATTTATTTATTAACCCGTTGGGAATGTTTTTTTTTTACTATTTATAAAACATAAATAATTTATAAACAATAAATAATTTTACTTCTAATTATCATTATTTTTAAATAGAATTTCCTCCCTCCCCCCCAAAAAAAAAATGGTTTAAAATAATTATTGTAAATAAAATCAATTTTATTGTTTATATTAAGTAAATAAAATTTTATTAAATTTTTCGGCATTTTATTTTTTTCGTACGTAATAAATTAATAAAAATTTCTTCTAGAAAAAATTATTTAAATTCAATTTGTCATAAAAAAAAAATGTAATTTGCTTACGTCACATAAAATTATAATAAATTAAATAAAATTAAATAAATTTTCGTTTTTTTATTTTTTTTTACATCACATCATTCACCGTATTTATTTTATTTATAGTGTATCTATTTATAGAACTATAAATTGTTTTATATAGACATTCACTTCCGGTTTAAAAAAGGAAATTAAAAGGATTCAAATTTCGAAAAAAGTTAATCGTTAAAAAAAAATAATTTTCAACTTCGCTTTTTTTTTTTATTTAAAAAAAAATAAATATTTATTTAATAGGGGATTCCCCGTTTTTTTCCCCCCCGATCGGGGAAAAACAAGTCGGAAGTCCCTCCTACCCTTCTTCCATTTGTTTCCCCCCTCCTTACGAAACAAATAAAAAAAAAGTAAAACTCAGAGATTTTACAAATACAAAAAGTTTTTTTTTTTTCCGGTTGTAGTTGTTGTTGTACAATCGTGTCCAAATACACCTGAGCCTTAAAAACAATGTTAAGGTAAGATTTTTTTTTTTATATGTTTAACGACTTTTTTCGTTGTTTGTTTGTTTGTTTTTTCGTTTGTTTAAGAAATCGTAGTAAAGTAAAACAAAGTTGTTAGGTTTCAAGTTCTTAAATGTGTTACCACCTTTCAAAGCAATCAACCTTTAATAAAGTTTTTGAAAATTAACCCTCGAGAATAGTTGCGTTGGATGACAAAAAGTTTTTTTCTTTAAAACGCGTGAGGTTTTCATTTTACCTTTAAAAAGAAAACTTAAAGAAAGAGAGAGAAAGAGAGTGTGAGTGTGAGAGAGAATTGTAGTTAATGTTTCTTTCTTACACTCGGATTCATATTCATTCTTTTTATTTCCTTTTGTGAGTGTGTGAGTGTGTAAATTTCAATAAATAAAATTTATTTAAATTTTTTTTTTATTTGAAATCATTTTGATTGCTGTTGTCGTCAGTGCAGTGTTTTGCTGCAGAGAAAAACAGGAAAACAAAAAAACAGAAAAAAATTTTTTTTTTTTTTTACGTTAAATAAATTTTTTTTTTTTTTTTAATCTGTCGCGATAAATTTTTTTAGGCTTTCCCTTTTTTTTTCTCCTTCCTTTCTTTCTCTTTCCTTCCTCCTCCGACATTTTGTTTTTCTTTTATCGTGGAATAAATAACACAGAAAATGCCCAGATTTTATAATTGTATATACAAGAGAGCTTACACTTGTAACTCTCTCTCTCTCTCGCTCATTTTACCCCTCGGTATTTTATGCCTTTTTTTCATTCTCCCTCCCTCTCTCTCTCTCTTTTTAAATCCAAAAAAAAATAAAATTTGTGAGACAAAAACTCACTCACCTGTACACTTGTCCTAAATTGTAATAAGCATTCACGTGGTTCGGAGAATATCTAATAGCTGCCAAAAAATGTTGTTCGGCATCTTTCGGACGACTCATTAAAGTTCCTAAATTATTATGAGCGCTTGCATATGATGGCCAAAGCCTGTGGAAACGAAAACACTAAAATTAAAGAGTCATCAATCACGTGATCGAAACGCGCTAAAAGGGTAAACAATAATACTATCGCGCATTATTATTATTATTCGAATTTTCTCGGGCAGACGTAAACAAACAAAATGGCGGTTTTGCGTTAATAATTAAAATTTATTGTTACGATAAAAGAAATTATTATTATTATTATTATTATTATTATTATTATTATTATTATTATTATTATTATTATTTAGAATTCGATTCGTTTAAAGAGTTAAAAAAAATTGCAAAAAAAAAAATTTTTTTAACGTTTTTTTTTTATTTATTTCCGGTTAAAAAAAAATTTTCCGGTTTTTTTTTATTTATTTGTTTATAAATTTTTCTTTTATTTTTTTTATTATAACGTTTTGGAACTGGTGTCAAGGGTTAAAATATTTTAGGGATGTAAAAAAATATATTATAAAATACCAAAAAAAAAAAAAAAAAAAACAAACAAACCAAATAAAAAATTCCAAAAAAAAAAAATTTAATTTAATTAAATTAAATTTTTTTTTTTTTTTTGTTTTTCCAGCTCACCGCAAAGCTTCCTTGTAATGAGATGCCGCCATTTCAACATTTCCAGAATCCCTTAAAAAATTTGCAAAATTATAATGCATTTTAGCATTTTGAGGTAATGTTTTTAAACCGGATCTAATTAATGATTCTCTTGAATTCCAGTCGCGATTTCTTAAAATGCTTCTCCCGCAAAAAACAAATATAACCAATATAACTATGGGTACTGGAGAAAAAAATTTTTGTTTTATTCTTAGCAATTGTAATCCGTAAACAACGAGTAAAGTCCATCCGAGGCTGGAACAAAAAAATAATAATAATAAAATTTTTTTTATCTCCCTCCCCCTTTTTTTTTTTTTTTCATTCTCGCTTAAAATCCTCTTGCCCCCCCCCCCCTCGATCTCTTTTTTCTATATCCATGTCTGTGTAGTCGAGAGAATGATAAAGCGCGTTTTTTGTTTTTTTTTTTTATAAAATGTAAATAAAAAAAAAAAAACCGTTAAAATCCCCGGAAATTATTTTTTTTTGTTTTTTAAATTCCAAAAACTGGACGACAATTTTAATAAAAAAAAATTTCTCCAAAATAATATTTAAATTTTTTTTTTCTTTTTGGCAGTTTTTTTTTGTTTATTATTTCCCACTCTTATCCCCTTTCTCTCTTTTTTTATTTTTTCTCGAATGTTCTATTTACTTTTTTTTGTAGAAATTACACTATCTTTCACGTCTATTTTATTGAAAATAAGAGAGAGAGAGAGAGAGAGAGAGAAAACTTATAAATTAAAAAACTTTTTTTTTTTTAAAATGGCATACCAACAAATGAATTCGTGCTTTGAATGAATTCGAGGTTTCGTTTTTTGTTTTTTTCCTTCCCTCCTTCCACTCTCTTCCCCCATCTCTCTCTTTCTCTCTTTATTTCGTTCACTCTTCACTTTTTATTTTATTTTTTTCTGTTTAATTTCAAGTTTTTTTTTTTTTGTCTTCTTAAATCATTAATTAAGACGCTTTTAAATTAAAAACTTTATTTTTAAAACTTTAATAAAAGTTTGTGTGTTATAATTTCTTCTTTTTCCTTTTTTTTTTATATAAATAAATATTTAATGTTTTTTGAAGGAAAAAAAAAAACGTCCAAATAAAAATTTTCCCTTTTTTTTTTTTTTCATTACTTTCACACTTTCTCTCTCTCTCCTCTCTCTTTTTCGTATTTTATTCATTATTTACTTTTACATTAAGATTTAGTAAAGTACTTATATATATAGAAACGTGATTTTTGTGTTGTCACGTGACATATTTTCCTTACCTTGGAATGTATAGTAAACGTTCGGCTACGACAAAACCGACCGTTACCGCCAAATTTGTCGCCGGTAAAAATGGAAAAACTAATAATGAAAGACCTAAAACGAGCGATGGATGTTTTTGATGCTGGAAAAACAAACAAAAAAAAATTTTTTTTATTAATTTTTTTTTTGTGAGAATGATAATAATAATGATAAGAATGATGATTGAGTGTGATACGATCGGTTGTGACTCTTTTTTTTTTAATTTTCATATACGCGCACAGTCTTCGCGTTAATAATAATAATAATAATATTTTAAAAATTTTGTTGATAAGAAAATTATTAATCGGGATTAAAAACCGTCGATAATAAATGATTGATGAATCTTAAAAAATTCAATTTTAATTTCAAAAACTCGGACTAGTCCGGGATTAATCTCAAACATAAATATTTTGGTCCAGGACGGAGGCGGAAGCGAGAAAAATTCACTCATAAATTCCAGTGTAAAAGGTAAATTATTTTGTTTTTTAATGTTTTCCATATCTCTCTCTCTCTTTCTCTCTCTCTCTCTCTCTGTCTCACTCACGTTTACTACAATTAATTCTACCTTTATTGTTATTTTATGTGAAATATGCTTTTATGTTCGAGGAGGCAAAAAAAAAAAAAAAAAAAAAAATGACTAAAGCGTCGAAATGAACTCCAGTTTTCTCTCTCTTTCTCTCTCTCCCCCTCTATTTCTCTCTCATTTCCATTTAAATCTCCAGAATATAAAAAATAACGAATTTTTTTTTTTAAATGTTTCACGAAAGGTAAAAAAAAAAAAAACTGAATTTTGAATTATTTTTCGAACGCGGTAATAATATTAAAAATAATAATTAGAGGGCGCGAGAGTGCAATCAATGGTTGTTGACATGACGCGTTTACATCATGTCAACTTATTTAATTAATTTTAATAGTTTTTTTTTTAAATTTAGTTATAAGTTATATATCAAAAGTTTTGTGATTTAGTGTAGTTTATTGTGATGTGATTAGTTTTTAAAAATATTATTTAGTGATAGTTATATTATTTTAAGTTTTAATTTACAAGTGGTCAGCGGTTTTTCTGACACATGGAAGCGTGGGGTGTAAAAAATTTTAGAAGATGCCTTAGGATATTTGATTATTATGGGTAAGTGCCTTATTTTGATACTTGAATTTCATTTGCAAAAACGTTAACCTAACCAAGAAATGAAGCCAAATGCCCAAAAAAAACATTTTAAAAATTTTACATTTATTTGGTTAATTATAAGGAGGTTGACTAAATACCTTTTTCATCTCATCATTAAAAATAAGAATTGGAGTAATTTAATAAAAATATTTATTAATAATGATTGATTTGATATATATTAACTCAGTTACAAATTTCTACACTCTCTAATCTTGTAGGGTTAATTTACTGATTGTTGGTTGTTTTGGGCCTTTTCTTGTGTTAGTTTGTCTCATTACAACATAGTTTATCATAGAGATAGTGTAATACCCTCTTTAAATCTGTATCAAAATCAGGAGGAATTGGTAGCCTGTATAATAATTGATTGTAATGTAAAGAGTAGACACAACAGACTCCATTTAATGATTGTACATCTCCTGAGCTGATTATAAGTAGTTGAGCTAAATACCTTCTGTCACACTAAATAAAAAGAGAGGTAGTTTAATAAAAATACTTATTAACAATAACTTTATTGCATCAGGTGGTTGTGAAATCTCTGTACTCTTGTTTTAAGTGTGAATCTATTGATTGCACATTATTTTAACCCTTTTCTCAAGTTAGTTTGTTTCATTATAACATATTTTGCCATATGTTTAGTGTAAAATTTTCTTTTAATTTCATTTAAGGTTAGAAAAATACAACTGCCTTCAGATTACTTAGGTTTATAGGTACAAAGTTTTAATTTGTGTACTGTGTTGTAATTTGTATACTGTGTTGTCATTTGTGTACTGTGTTGTACTATGTGCACTGTATTGTAATATGTGTACTTTGTTGTAATTTGCATATTGTAATAATTGTATATGTATACAGTGAATACATTAAGAATGGAATGCATGAGAGAAAAGTATGAAAGAGGGAAATAGTAGAATAATTAAGGATTGAAATAGTTTTAAGGATAAAGTATAATCTTTTACTAGGTATACTTAAAAAATTCACACCTAAAGATAATGATGACTGATTCATAATTGTAATAGAGCAAAAAACTGAAATGAAAACAAGATAAAGACAGAATCAAAACAAATCTTGTTCTAACCTGAGTCAACTCAACAAGGTTGTAAATCTCACTTCTCCTGTTTCTGGGCACTTCACAGATGTTAGTAACTGGAGCCCAGTACAGGAAATAACATGTTCCCATCAAATAAGATGGTCTCAGTGAGACTTACAAGAATTGTTGTGATGTCATAGGTTATAACAAGATGAAACCTATTCATAAGGCATGCAGCATCATTCATATCAGGCATTTATTCCTTGACCTAGAATAAATTTTGAAAAGGCTCCTACAAACATTAAGACGAATTATCGCGATTATGAGTGAAAATAATAATAAAACTCGTTCTTACCTTTTCTCCCCCAAAAAAAAAAAAAAAATTTCATTTCATTTCACCCTCATAATAGTGCCACGAAAATAAATTCAAATAGTTCATTATTTAATTCATTTAATTCATGATTATTATTATTATTATTATTATTATTATTATTATTATCATTAGAAAACTAACGAACAAACGATGTTAATTTTGTGACTTGGCAATAGCCCGCATGTTTTCCAAAAAAAAAAAAAAAAAAAAAAAATGGGGGACCCGGAAACAAAAAAAAAAAATTTCCCATTAGATAAAGCCAAAACGAGGAAAAAAAAACCTCTTTTATTACCCTTATGAGTTTAGATAAGAATATAATTTTTACCTGTGGGTCAATCACATCGAAAAAAAAAAAAAAAATTTATTTTTACCGAAGATAACCGAATATTTCCGAAAACAAATGAAAATTTTTCTTCATACATACGATGACGAATTTTTTTTTTTTCCTTATTATTATTATTGGTATTGAGTTTATTTTTTCATTTTACGTTTGATTTTTGTTTTTCGTTTGTTTGTTTGTTTGTCTTGCGTTTTATTATTTCGCGTGTTAAAAAAAACGTCCGCGTATTTTTTTAAAACGTTTTATATAAATAAAATGGTTGATGGGACCCATCATAAATTCAAACGTCGTTGAATTGTAACGAGAGCGACATGTTTTTTTTTTTTTTTTTTTCATTTTGTTAACCGTTTCTCCCGCATACGCGTGTATATATAAATATATTTTGTTTTTTCATTGTTCTCACCACAATAATAATCTACGATCGTAGTAAAAATAAATTACAACGTTAAGTATTCCAAACGATTTAAACGTCCTACGTGAAAAATTACATTCTTTTTCACTCTCCCCTCCCTCCCCTCCCTCCCATCCCGTTTTTCCCCTTGTTTTATTTTTAACCCAAATATTTTTTCACTGATTTTCTTACCGAAAAAAAAAAAACAAAAATTTTTTTTCGTGGAGGATGTTTCACCACCGCCGCCATCATTTGTTCAAATTTTAAAAACGTCGACTCGATATTTTTTTTTTTTTTCCCGTTTAAAAAAACGACTCAAAACGTTGTTGTTTTTGTTGTTGTTGTTGTTGGTTGTTCTTATTCGTTTTTTTTTCTTTCTCACCTGAAATACGGTTTTTATTTTACCTTTTTTTTTTTTTCTTTTTTTTTCCCCCTTCCATCTTTTCCACCCTTGTTTCACCCTTACCACTTCCTCGCCTTATTTTTTCGCTTCTTCATCTTCATTTTTATTTAACACTTTTTACGACTTTACTTTTACTTTATTTATTCTTTTATTGCTTAGTTTTTACTTTTTTGATTACATTAAACTTTAATTTTGTAATTTTATTGTTTTTATCATTTTAAATTTTTTTTCGTTTGTATGGCGTTGTTCTTGTTTTTTTTTTTCTTTTCGTTTTTAATATAATTTTTAAAACGAAAAAAAAAAACAACAACGACAACAAAATATAAATAATTAAATAAAATTCTCATCTTTTGTTTTTTCTTATCGTTTAATAATTAATTAATAATTTGTTAGTATTATTATCATTATTATTATTTCGTATCATTTATTTTTTTTTACAAAAGAAAAGAAGAATAAGTTTTGTGTCGAGTTTTAAAAAAAAAATTTTTATCGTTTATTCCATACGTAATCGTCATGTGACATCAAAACTTTAATTTCATTGCCCGCATAAAGAGAAAATTTTTTTTTCGAAATATTATTTCCGGGGGGGAGCGGGAGGGGAGAAGGGGGAAAGGTAAAATGTAAAACGTGACGTCAGAATTTACCGCAAAAAAAAATTTTTTTAATGAGATATAAAAAAAAAAAAAAAAAAAAATGAGGAAGTGAGTTCGCGTGGGGAAATACTCGAATGATAAAAAAAAGTGGCGGGAGAGTACGAGAGACGGGTAAATAGACATTTTGTTTAGCTTTTTTTTTGGTAAAATAATTTGAGTCGTTATTTATTCGTTGTAAATTTGAAAAAGTACGAAACAACTCAAGACGTCAAGTTTCTATGTTGAATTCTCAGTGAAATGAGATTAAGTTGAATTATTCAAAAAAATAGAGTGAATTTTAAATTAGGTTTGTTTGAGGTTACGTTTTTCTTTCTCTCTCTCTCTCGTTCTTTGCATCATTTAATGATGGCTCTTTCCTTTCATATTTTACTTTTCTTTATATTTTCTTTTCCTTTCTATTCTTTTCTTTTCTCTCATTTAGGTCAATTGTACGTTCGTTTGCTTCCTTCTCATGATTTCCAAAAAAAAAAATTAATAAAAAAATTTTCCTTTCCTATATTTTCCGTATTCCCCCTTTTTTTTAAAATTAAAATTTTATAACGATGACGTAATTAAATGATAACGCGACGATAATGATGATAATAAAAATTGGCGGTAAAAATAAAAATAAAAATAAAAAATAAAATAAAAAAATAAAAAAAATTCTTGAAGTGTTCTTCGATCTTGATCTTTTTTTCAATGAAAAATATTCGAAAAAAAAAAAATTGTATTTTTCAGCAAGAGAATAAAAGATAGAATGATTGATTGATTGATTGATTGATTAATTGATGAGGAAACAATGTATTAATACTATGATGATAACTCATCATCAATCTCAATTCGATGTTAATAGAAATTTGTACGGTGATAATAAATTTAATGAAAAAAAAAAAAAAAATCAAACGGGAAAAAAAAACAAACCGTGGTTGTTGATCGTTTGTTGTTTGTTTGCTTGTTTGTAAAAATACTTTTAACCCCTTGCATCGAATATAAAATCTTTTTTTTTTTTCGTTATTTTTATATATAAACGATCGTAAAACTAACAAACCGCGAAGAGAAAAAAAAAACTTGCGGGGTGTTTTTTAATATCTATATATATATATATATAAATTTATATATATATAAATTTATATTTATATTATCATAATATAAAATATTAATAATATTAAAAAAAAAGAAAATTAATTTATCGTTTGGTTTAATAAAAAAACTTTTTTTTTTTTTTTTATTACTTTTTTTTTATTACGTATAAAATCAGTGAACAAATTAAAAACGTATAACGTGTACCGACCGTTCGAACGATCGCTCGTCTAACGAACTTTTATATATCGATCGATATAATTAACAAACGTAATATCGTCGTAATCATCATCATCATCATCATCATCATCATCAGTATTATTATTAAAACCAGTTTTTTTAAAAAACATCAAATTTTAAAAGGTCAAAAAGGGTTTTTACTTAATTTATAATTAAAACTAAAAACAATGAAAGGAAAATGGGGTTTCCTGCTGGTAGAATAATTTGTCGTCAAAGTCTTTCACGGTAACAAATAACCTTTTTTTTTTATCATCATCATCATTATCATCAGTAGTTATTGTAATAGTAATAGTGGTAAAGATGGTGGTAAAAAATAAAAAAAAAATTAATTAAACCGCCATGTTTAAAAGCCAAAGAGAGAGAGAAAGAGAGGGGATGAAACAAAACATTTTAAAATCAACGTTTTTTTTTTTTTTTTTTTTTTTGAATTTAATTAAAGTTTTTCTTTTTTTTTGGTACTAAAATAATAATAATAATAGTAATTATTAAGTTAAAAGTTAATAGATTAAACGAAACAAAAGATTAAAGTATTTATTAATAAATAAAATATTATGTAAATAATTAAAAACGATTAATTAATAAATAAGGGGGAAAAAATAATGGAAAATTTTTAGTTAAAAACATGATTACTGTGTAAAATAATAATAATCATTTTCATTCCTTTGGGATTTTATAGTTATCGGCTAACCTTTCAACCGCTAAACCTCTTTACTTTTATAAAATATATATATATATAGATACATAAACTGATTTTCTTAATATTTCTCTCTATCTTCATTTACAAGAAAGAAAAAAAAAAAAAGGAAAATTCTTCCTTTTTTTTTGTGGGATTTTGATTCGGTTACATTAATTTAACTCTCAATAGTTACAAACGACAAACGTTGAATTGATTTAACAATGGTTTTGCGGGAATAGAATAAAAAAAAAGTAAAAAAGGAAAAAAGGAAAATTTAAGTTTTAAATTGATGATTTTAAATCTTTGACCTTTCGTACCTATAAAATAAAATCTTACAAGAAAGAGAGAGACAACCGTTCGATAATTTTTTTTCTTTTTCATTGTAAAAATTAATTAAAATTATATAAAAAAAAAAAAAAGAGTTTGTCGTAGAAATGAATGAATTCCAATAATGTTCGACAAAACGACAACGACAACAACGACAGAACTTTCATTCAAACGGAAGTTTTATAAAAAAAAAAAAAAAAAATTAATTTCGATATTTTCCAGAACGTCGTGAATTTCGCACGGATATTTATTTCGGTGATAAAATAAACATAAAAAAAAAAAAGCAGAAGATAAATTTATATAAACCCCCCCCCCGCGCAAAAAAACATGGTCGTTTTTCAACGAATCGATAATTTAATTATTTAAAAAAAAAAAAAAAATTGTTTTTTCATTAAAATAAAATTAATTTGCGGGGGAAAATTTAAACAAAAAAAAATTAAATTATTTTCTTTTTTTTTACGGATAATTACTCGTTTTAATTCAAAAAAAAAAAAAAACAACAGACAAGCAAACAAACAAACAAACAAAAAAAAAAAAATTAAACACTAAACCGGAACGGTTAACAACAAAACAAACGAACGAACGAACAAACGTACGAACGAACGCGCGCGTTTGACCGCTAATTAGCAATCCGGAATAAATTTTAATTTTAATTTTTTTTCTGTTTTATTAATTAAAATTTAAAAAAAAAAAATTTAATTAAAAGTAAAAAACGTGCGTGTTTGTTCTTACCTCGAAATCCACGATTCCTTTATATATTAATATAGCAAGGCAACAAAAAAACAAACAAGTTGCTGTGTTTCTCGAATCCGAATAATTTGTTATCAACGGTATCGAACCCATTTGCCAATCGTGACTTAAAGTCGCGGGAAAAAGTAAAAGCCAACAATTTAATGCGGTCAAATAGCAAAATGTCATAAATCTGAAAATAGAGAAAAAAAAAAAAAATTTTTTTTTTGTTAATGAATAATAACATTTAATTTAGTTTTGAGGGCGTTTCTCTTATCCATTCGAAAGCCATCTTTTTAGTAATAATAATATTATCGTACAAAAATTTTAATATAAAATCCATAAATTAATAAATAATATAAACTGGAAGAAAACTGAAGGGAAAAAAAAAAAAATTATTAAAATTTATTAATTAATTTCGAACGGGATCGATTTTTTTTTGGAGAGGGGTTTTTCAAAAAAAAAAGTATTTCGAGTCGAAACTACATTAAAAAAGGAAAAGGGTGGTGGTGGGGGGAGTAAAAAAAGGTTTTTTTTCGGAAAATTTTAAACCGTGTGGTCCTGTGGTAATCCTCGTTTCACATTTTCACTTGTTTAATGGCAAGACAACGACGCGAAACCATTCTTGGCGGTTTTGAGACCGCATTATTGGAACTTGTGCATGGTGATAACAACAGAAGCAGCAGCAGGAGAAGTTTTCCACACGAAAACTTTCATTGATCTTATTTTTTTTTTTTTTTTTCTAATACCACGATAATCGTATACATATTTTTTAACACGGGTTTTTTGCCTTTCTCTCTCTCTCTCTCTCTCCTGGTTTTTGTTTTTCGTTAGGAAATAAATAAATAATTTAAAAAGTTTTTTATTTTTTAATTATTATTATTATTATTATTTTTTTTTTTATTTCAAGTTAGTGAAGTACGATAGAAAACGTGTAATTAATGAAGGTTTTCAATCTCTTAAACAATTTTAAAAAGTAAGAAAGAAAGACAGAAAGAAGGAAAGTAAGAAAAAAAGTAAAGAAAAAAAAAGGAAAGAATTGATACAAAGGTGAAGTGGAGAGTTAAAGAGTCTCTTGAAAAAGTTTCCGCTTTAAGAATTGCTTTTTTACTCTGGCAGAATGATTAAGAGAGAGAGAGGAAAGGAGAGAAAGAAAGAAAAGGAAAAAATGAAAAGTTTTTACGAAAATTTCTATTCGTCCCTTCTTTTTTTTTTTCTTTTTTTTTTCGGTAAACTTAATCGAAAACTTTTGATTCTTAACATTCCATTAAAGCCTGTTTAAACAATTTTCCAAAAGAATTTTATGGAAAAAAAAGAGGAAAAACTTTTCCATAGTAATAAAAATTCATTTTTTCCAAAAAAAAAAAAAAAAAAAATTTTATGGATACAAATCGCCTCCCCCTCTCTCTCTCTCTTCGAAAAAAAAAAAAGTCATTTAATTTTTTTTTTCTTTCTTTTTCATATAAATTAATAATCGATAAATCGATGATGATGATAATAACAATAATAATAATAATAATATTAATAATAAAAACTCAATTGTAAATTAATCAATTTATTTCAATCTGTAAACAAACGTAAAAAAAAAATTAGAAACCTTCTGCTTCTTTAATATAAAAAAGCAGAATATTTTTTTTTTTTTTTTTTTTTTCATCAACTTCTTAATCTCATCCCGAATCGACGGTTTTCTGGAATTATAAGGCTCCAGGAAAATTATAAAAAGGAAAAAAAAATAAAAAAAAATTTTTTTTCTCCCTAAAAGTCTATCGAAAAAAAAAGAAAAATGTTTTGAATAATAATAATAATATTTTTTTTGAAAGAAAATGAGTTTTTAATAGAAAATAAATAAAAGTTTCAAATTTTTATTTTTTAAAGGGTGGAAGTCGTAGCGGTGGTGGTGGTGGTGGTAGTGGAGATGGCGGTAGTAAATATTATATTATTATCATCGTTATATATAAATTCGTTTTTCCTCTTCATTCGTCATGTCATATTATTATTATTATTATATATGTTCTGAAGACGTAAGCTTCTTACGCGAACGTCTCTCGTTAATTTTTAAAAAAATTTTCTTTTTCTCTGGTACCTTCGTCTCTGATTTTACTACGGCACGCATTAATTGCACGCGTACGTTACGCACGTGCGTGTTATTATTATTATTATTTTAATTATTTTTTTTTCTCTCTCTTTTTTTGTTTCGTTCAGGTGGGTTGGATATAGATTACGTAAAAATATAAAGCAAAAGATCGAAAAAAAATTTTTTTTTTAACGATCCCGGGGAAGAGGAGGAGTTTTCAGGAGTGGAAGGGAAGGGAAGGGAGGAGAATGAAGAGCACAGGTCATCTGGAATAGAGAGATATTCAAATCCTTTGAAGAGATTTACCCTCTCTCTCTTTCTGTCGTTCTTTATATTATTATTTTGACACAAATCCAAAGTAATTCCAAAAATGAGATAACCGCCGCGCGTTATAAAATAATAATTTACGGACGGGGAGGCAAAAAGGGGAGAGCGAAGGGGAAGAAGAAAAAGGCGAAAGGGGGCGGGCAAAGGGAAGAGAAACAATTTTTTTTAAAAACGCTATATAAGTATATATATATATATATATATATATATATATATATATATATTGTTATGATCCCGTACTCAATATTCACATTTTCAACTTTTTATAAACAAAAGACTGGCGACGAACTCAAATTGTTCTTCTTTAGAAGCGAAGCTTCTAAAGACTCCTTCTTTTATTTTATTTGCAAGTGTTTGCTCGAACATTCGAAACAGTTGACTGACGAAAGACCAAAGTAATATAGGCAAGCTACACAGCTTGGCGTTGGTTCATTTGATTTTAGTCTAGCTGTAAAAGTTCTTGTTTTTAATATTAGTTTTGTGATAGTTTTAAGTGCTTGTTCATTACTTACAAAAATAAAAACGAACCGAATATAACAATATATATATATATATATATTAAAGAGTAATGAATGAATGACTTTTATGACGTCATTATTATAAATAATGATGAAAATAATAGTAGTAATAATGATAATAATAATAATAATAATAAAAAGCCAACGGCCATAGCGTGCTGGTCACACCGGTTCCCGTACGATCACCGAAGTTAAGCAGCATCGGGCGTGGTGCAAACTTGGATGGGTGACCGTCTGAGAACGCCACGTGCTGTTGGCTTAAAAGAGCAAAAAAAATGAGAACAAGACAAAGTAAGAACCAAAAAACAAATCTTGTTCTACTGTCGACCTGAGGCAGCTCGACGAGAACGTGAATTTCACTGCTTCTGACCTGGCCACTCCAAAGATGTTAGTCACCGGAGCCCAGTTCAGGAGACAAATCGTTCCCATCGAATAAGACGGACTCAGGAAGACCTTCAAGAATTGATGTGGTGCTATCTTATAATAAGCGGCACCACCGAAATTCGAGTATTTGTCCCTAAGGAATCGGGTAGAAACCTCGGATAAATACTTAAAAAAAAAAAAACTCCGACAAGTAGCCTTGTCGTGTTTAATGGTGGATAATAATAATAATAACAATCAATTTCGTTATGAGTTTTACCACTGATACAGAAAGTAAAAAAAAAAAAAATCAGAGTTGTTGTTGCTTTTTTTTTTAATACTGGAAATAAAAAAAAAAGGGAGAAAAAACAAAACAAAAGGAAAATAAGAGAGAGAGAGAGAAAAGGGATGATTAGAAATTACCCTTATCGAAAAGTTACGCTATTTGCATATTAATTTTTACATGTTTTACGGCTATTAAAGAAATCAAACGTTAAAAATTATAGTTTGCACGAAAAAAAAAAAAAAAATTTTTTTTATTTTTATTTTTCCCTATTTTTCCTATTTTTGGACTATATAGTGAGCTATATAATTTTATAAAAAAAATAAAAAATAAGGGATGAATGACCCCGATTAAAAACTCGAAGGTTTTATTTTTATTATAATAATAATATATAATTTTTTTTTTTTTTTCAAATTATCACTAATAATATTTTTTTTTATAATAATAATAAATAGGAAATGAAAAAAAAAAGGAAAAAAATTGAATATAGCGGGCTATAATGATTTAGATATATATTTTCTTATTACAGTGCATGAGAAAAAAAAAAAATTTTCCTTCATTAAGGAAAAATTTTTAGGAAAATAAAAAAATGGCGGAAGAAGAAGAAAGAAAACGAATGAAAAAAGGTGGTAATAGAAGTGTGTGTAAATAACTTATAATAACAAGATTTTTTTTTTGTTTGTTTTTTATTATTATTATTATTATTATTATTATTTCGCGTTCGTTTTAAATAAAAACTTTAACGCGTATATAAGAAGAAAAAGGAAAATTTTTTTCTTCAATGTTTTTCCGTTTTTAATTTATGTAAAAGAAAATAAAATGAAAAATTATTTCGAGGTTTTTCCATTCATTGTTACTTTTAGTAAATAATTTACGAGTTTTAAATAAATAAATAAATAAATAAGTAAGAAAACAAAAACTAAAAAACAAAAATTTCTTTTAATAATAATAATAATAAGAAGAAGAAGGAGAAGAAGAAAAAGATGAAGAATTAAAATGGAGAAGAAAATTAATAGAAAATGAGTAAAATCTTATACATGCGGGTGGTTAAAAGAAAAACAAAACAAAATAAAACAAACAATCGAAAAACTTAAAAAATTTTTTATTTCACTGAAAAAATCATAAATTGAAAAAAAAAAGAAAACTTTGGGAAAAAAATAAAACGAGGAAAAACTGCTTTCGTTCCTGTTCCTGTTGTTGTTTTTCTTATTCCCGTCTTCCTCCTCCCCCTTTTCACTCCCACCCATCTCCTCCCATTCTCGTTTCAATTCTTTACTGATTTTATTTTACTTTATTATTATTATTTCTACATTCGAATTTTAAACCAAAAAAAAAAAATTAAAACGTTATCGAAAGTTAATATCAATGCTGCCAACCGACATGTTATTGTCTTCGTTACCGTTGGTATCATTGCAAACCTGTTGCAAAATTATTTCCGCGGGTTTATGTGAAAAAAATACGAATGGAGGGGATGCGAAGGATGAGACGAACGAAACAAACGAATTAAACATTTACGAAAATCGATTTTATCTCGAATATTTTTTAATAATTAAAGTTTTAATCTAATGATAATAATAATAATATTCTTATATAAGTAATAATGAAAACTTTGAAAATATTTCTTTAACCGT